AAGATAATTTTTTAATCTAAAATGATACTTTTCTTAATTTTTTATTGAGTTAATCATTTAATTGATTAACTTTTTAGCAAAATATTAATTGTGGTATCTTTTTGTACGGAGTACATGCTCACTAATGAGAAGGAAATCATTCTTGCAAATAATTTTACAGATCAAAGTATTTTTACTCATATTTTAACTATATAATAACTCTCATTTTAATATTTTCATAGTCCAAATTTCCTTTGTCCTATATATTTCTTCTGAGTGTATATTCTAACTTCACGAAAATTTTTATTAGAATTTTTCATGGCCTATAAAATGAAATAAAATATTCTTTTCACTAATTATTTTGTTAAACTTTTAATATATTTTTTAAACCATGTGGATTTTATTTTTTATATCAATATTTAAATAAAATAAATTAAAAAACTTGAAATTTTGTTTTATCGTACGCAATTAGAAGAAAAACATGATAAGAAGAGAGTTATTCTACTCTAATCTGAGTATTTCCCTAAAAGATTGACACAGTTTAACTTTTTTAGACAAATTGTATCATCATTTGATCGCAAAGTATGAAAAAAGTATATTCAATTATTATGTAATTTTAAAAAATTGAGTTTGTTTTAAAATATAATTTTTAAATATCAATTTTTTTATAATATTTAATTATTTTAAATTACATTTAATTCGTGCTCTAAGGGTACCATATTTTAACCAAAAAAATTAAACTGTGTCAATCTTTTAAAGATAGAGAGAATATTTAATGTTTCAAGGCACGAAACTTTATTAAGGAGTCGTCTTTTCAACATGATCGTTTGTACGTACTATTGTCTTTGCTATATACTCACTCGGTCGGAGCACTACGTCTGTCCACTATTTGTAAACAGTCATTTTTTACACGGTTTTCGGATCAACTTTTTTACCGTATTTTAAAAAAAAAGGTGAAAAGCGTACTACAGCTCGATCCGACAGGATTGTGGAAAGGTAAATAATGACATAATCTAAATCGAGTCGTTACAGTATTTTAAAAGGTCATGCATTAGTACATTAAAATGGTGTACCCAATTTGTACACCAGCAAAATTTTGTGATGTCTAAGCATGTTCATGTAGTAAGAAGAAATTCGCTCCACGCTCGCATGGACAGCTCTACTAGTCTCGGATATAGAATTTAGAATAAGAGATCAAGGATCGAGCCTTACCAGTAGCATTGTGGGAACAACCTCTCAAAAAACGAGGGCACTCCTTGTGCACGTACAGTAAGCACTGATCCGAGTCTCTGTTTCTCGTTGAGTCACCGTGATATACATTCTATCACAATCTCGTTAGGAAGGGGGTAAGCGGCGCCCAGGATGAGCGATTCCACCTTTTGGGAACAAGAAAGCCGCTCCAAATTTCTTTACATTTTGTATTCGAATTTCAATTCACTCCCGAGTTTAAGATGTTGAAATTATAAGATTGAACATGTACTACACTAATAGGTGTAAAACTTGAACTATTAAAAAGTACTAATTTTTTGGATAACAAATCTATCTATGGATCAATCTAATTATTTTGTGATTTTTTTAAATAACAAATCTATCATGACTCTTATTATCAAACTTTGGTATGCAATTTGGTGTGATTGTAACCCCTAATAAATGTGGATCCCTATATATGTTGTACCCAAAACCATCTCCACACTGCAAATCAATAAGAGCTTTTGTCTCCCTGTGTTTTTCCTTAATTAATTACTCCATCTGCGCTAGCTATGTACGCACTGCCTAGCTACACATAATTGTATGGGTCAAAGGGGACATTAATTAGCTATAACTATATGGTCTTTGGAAATCAAAGGTTTTACCAAAGGGTATTGTTTTGTGGGTAACTTTTTTTTTTTAAAGTAAAGCTATAAAAAAAATAGTTTTAATTATTTTAACCTCTTAGATATATATATAGGGCATTAAATATGGACATTTGTTTAGAAAAACTAAGATACCAAATTAGCTATTTTTGTTAGAAACTCATTTAGAAAGAAAAGTTTATACACTAAGAAGGAGATGAGTAATAAGAAAAAAATGCATTTATCATATTATATTAAAATATTGATTTTGAAAAAAACTTACTTTAGAGTGTCAGTCAAGCTAAGTTTGGATTTGGTCAGATTTATCCATTTTTAGCGAGTGATCTTTGGATTCGGTCTACAAATATTCTCTTCAAAACCCATTATTTTTAGATTGAGCTAGTCTCAGATAAAAAAAATCGAATCATTTTTTATCAAGTCTACTTGGGAGAAAGAAAAATGAGCTTGTTTGTCTCTATGAACGAGTCATCATTTCTCTTGTAGAGAGTCATAAAAGAGACAATTCTATCCATTTTTAGAGTCCTTTGAGGCTTTGAATCACACCATTTCATTTTCTTAAATTCTACATAAAGTCAATTTAGACTTTTTTCGGGTAATGGGAGTATAATCTTAACCCGACTAATATGGAGGTGGGATTTGTCCTCATATATGTAAGGATTATTTCATGCTACACATAAATAACATTCATCGCTAACGTCATGAGTCGAATCTTAATATTATTCCGTACCTTTTTATACATCTCTTCGCTTCTTTCCTACTGAATGTACCCCTTCCATTCAAAATAAATCGTTCCACTTCGCAACTCATCTTTTTTAGCTATATATTTAATTATGTTAATCATTTTCTAAAATAATATTTTCTTAGCTTGTAATTAATATGATTTGAGTATAATAAAGGTATATTACTTGTTTAAAAAACATCGTCATTTCATTTATGATTTTATAGATAATTTGATTTATAGTTTTCTTAAAGACAATTTCTACCATTTTTTAAAGAACAATAAGGTTAAAAATAAACACAATCAATGAAATAAGTTTCATTGTTGATCATAGGACAATTGATTTTGGAGAGAGGAAAATGAGTAGAATATATAATGGGCCTAAATATATTTGTCATATATCCGCTCCACCAAATGGCTTCCGGCACGCGCACGCCTAGAGAAAAAGATGTCATATGACCAAAACTACTCAATGCAACAACGAACTATAAATGCGTCCCCTCGCCCGCATGGGTAGCTCAGTTGGTCAAGAGCGTGAAATCTTGGACCGATGACCAGGAATCGAGTCCCGCAAGCGGCAGTGTGGGAGCTATCCAAAAATCCCATAAAGGGTGAGGAGGCTCCTTGTGCGCGGTGGGCACGGGTCTAGCGTTCTTGGCCGACTGAGTTACCATGATTTACATCCTCCACCATTCCTGTCGGGCAAGGGGGTGGAGGCGCCTGGGGTGGACGATTCCACCTTTTGGACCGATAAATGCGTCCCCTCTATGAATGGATCCGGAGAGAGCTAATGGGGAAATGCTTCCGAGTTTGAAATTTGGTGGCTGTGATGAGAGGCAATCATGTAAAGCATGGAGCTTCTGCAAGTACTAGAGACGTAGAACTCTATTTTTGTACCAACTGACTGAGATTATAACTCACTGTACCTCTTCTCAGCTAACTGTCCCGCCAGTGTTGAGGGACTCCAAAGAATGCGGTCTCAACCTTTTGATTCACATAGCACTTTGATTTGTGTTAAAAAAAAATTGCTCTTCACAAATAATGTGTTTAATCGAATTTATTAACCACCAGATAAAAAACAATGAAATGATTAATTGCATTCCTGAGACGAGTGTGTTTGGTTAAATTCTTTTTGAGTTGCCGGTATCGAATATTGTCTACTTTCACTATTTTTGAGTTGCGGTAGTCCAGAATATAAATTGTAATTGCAAACTAAGAGAGGGAATAGGGTTTTTTTAGTAAATGACAAGAATTACATTTACAAATTACAATTACTTCTGGTCCAAAAATTACAATTACATATTTATATTTCCAACCTCCAAATTACACCTTTTGTTTTATTGCACTTCATGGAGTAAAAAAAAGGTGAGACTCGTGATTGTTATTTATGTAGAAAAGATTAAAAAATAATGTGACACACTAACTACTAACTTTAAAAGTAAGAAAAAAAATTATTTTGGACCGGATGAAGTAGTAAATATAAATACATTACTTTATGTATTGTACTATCGTACACGGCTATGGGGATACCTTTATAATGTTATCAATTTAAAAAAAGAAAGAATATAAAAATGTAAAAAAAAAAATTAGTAGAAAAAAGAAAAAAGAAAAAAAATACAAACTTGATTTAATTGGTGAGTGGTGACTGGCGTGTGCCTTTTTCTCCATAGAGGAATGCTATGCCACTCCACGCCAAGGAAGATAAATAGTGTGTTGGTAAATGATGTGGCAGGCAAGGCAATAAAAAACTCACCGCTGCTGTTGCTCTATGCATATAAAAATACTCATTTGTTAAAATATGGTACGTTTTGATACGTTTAAAAATACTCTCTCTATCCCAAAGTATTTGACACCTTTTGATTTTTCAATCAAAATTGATAAATTTTAGTCCCAAATTAAATAAAAATAATATTATAAATTGAATAAAAAAATATTTTTATTAGATTATTATATAGAATATTTTCAAAATATTATTTTATTTAATTAATATACAATATTTATTTTATTTAATTATATATCAAAGGTCAAAGATTAATAAAATTTGACTAAAAAACTAGACAAATACTCCCTCCATTTCTTAAAACCCTTCCTCTTTCATTTTTTTTGTTTTTCATAAAACACTATATATATATATATATATATATATATATATATATATATATAGTCTTACAAAATAAGTAACCTTAAAAAACATACGTATGAATATAATGAATATCGGATGAAAAGTGCAATCCAAGGCGGAGTTATATACAATGGGAATGTGGGGGTCATCATCACCGCAATTAGACTTGGATGTGTGTTTTTTAGCCACTACATATTTAGTGTATCAGTTTTATAGTGGTACAATATGTCCAAAAATATAAAAAAAGTTTTAGTTGTACAAAATATTTTTTTTGTAGTCCTGTTCTTGCAAATTTGCCCATTTGTTTGGTAATGACATCAATTCAAGCACCTCTTCTGCCCCCTTATTGACTCTATTCCAGCCACAAACATATCAACCAAGCAACACTATCTGAGGAAAGAAATACTCCATTTGGTTAATTTATTATATTCCTCCTTTATTATTGTCATTTTCCTATTGTTATTTTGAATGTTTAAATCAAATTATCTATAATATCAATGTTGAATTCAAAAAATGACCTGATATATATGCATATGGAGTAACTACAACAATTTTTTTTCAAAACAAAAAACTATACCCAATTCAATATTATTGTACTCCCTCAGTTTAGTTACTCCCATCATTTCTGTTGTGACTTGGGGGTGATTTATTTTTATTGTTTGATATTATAATTATATCCTTGCAAATTGAATAAAATATATTGCAACGTCTCAATTTATATATATGAGTCATTTTTACAAAAATGGATGTTTTTTAAGTAAAACAAAAAAATAAAAGAATTGTTTTTAATTAAAAAACGAAGAAAGTATCAAATAAATTATGAATAAAAATATTTGGGACAGTGAGGGTATTATTCATTTACTTTTAAATGCAACAATAAGAACCTTTTTTTTAGGGAACAAAAAACAACCCAATGGAATCCTTGAACAATATGGCATATGGGGAGAAGGGGTAGCCAAAGAGTAAAGACTATGCAAATTAAAACCAAAAGGTATATTTTATTTAAGGGGTGTACAATTGTACCCATTACTTGAGAAAATGCAAACCCTAGTTCATATTTATATCCATGTTTTTAATTTCAAGAAAATAAACTTACACAATACCATATATTTTCTTGGTAAATTGGGATATTATTATTATATGATAAAATCAAGAACTTCAATTCATAACAAACCACAAAATTAACACCAACCTCAAAATATAGTCTTAGAAGTGAAGCCCCAATTTATGTTTTTTTTTGGTGAAAGGGTAAAAAAGAAATCAAGAAGAGTAAAGCTTAGAGCTTTAGGGCGGCGGCGTTGGATATATATATACACGTACATCAAATGTGAAGTGGAGCTTCACCTGGCGGCGGAGTCGGCGGCGGCGGCCGCTTCCGCTTCTTCTTCTCGTAGCTGATTCCTCTGGCTTTGGACTGCAGATCCCGGACTTCCCGGAGGTAGAGCCGGACTGCCCGAGCCCCGAACGGGTTGGTCTCGGGCGTTCCCCCGTTCTCCTCGTAGGCCGCCCGAAGCCGCCCGATGAGCGCGTCGAGGCTGCCCCAAGCCTGCCGGAGCGGGCAGGGGCACGGCACGGGCGGGTTCGGGTGGCCGTAGAACGGGCATATCTGGTTGTGGACCTTGGTCTTCCCGAACTGGTCCAAGTACCTGAGGAACTCCAGCACGTGGGCCCCGCTGCACCGCGCCAGCGCCAGCGGGGGGCGGTGGTTCTTCAGGTACTGCCCGAACGTGTTCCAGTCCCGCCGCTTCTGGTTCTCGTACCGGCTCGACGAACCCGCAGCCGCTACGGGAGCCGCCGCCGCCATAAAGTTCGCGCTTTCGGCGTCAGACCCGGCGGCGGCGGCCACATCATGATGATGATGATGATGGGGAAGAGGAAAGGAGTCCATAAACATGTTTTGGGGATACTTCCTTTCCTTTTGTTGCAAATTCAAGAAAATCTTTGTTTTTTTCTTTCTAGGGTTTATTTTTTTTCTTCTGTGACCCCAAAAGAAACCAAACCAAGAAATCAAATCAAATCAAAAGAGACATAAAAGGAAGGCAATTAAGAGTGGAAATGAGAGTGAAGAATGGGAGTGATTGATTGTGAGGAGGTTTCCATATTTGCTAGAGAGAGAAAGAGAGAGAGAGAGAGAAATTGTGATGGGTTTTTGGGAAGAAGGCAGGGGAAATGTGAATATGATAGTAATAGAATTGAAGTGACTAGATAGAGGAGGGATTGATGGGGGAGTGGTTTAACTCAGAATTTGATGATGATGATGATGATGGCCCAAAATGAGGGATTTTTAAAATCAGTTTCTTGGTATAAGCAAAAAATCCAGGAAATCATGGGGATTGGGGGAGGTGGGTGTGGTGGTGGCCGGTGGAGGAAGCTATCATTTTAGTTGCTCTTTATATGAGAAATAAATCTCAATCTTGTTTAAGTCTTCTTTGTAAATAATTTTAGACATTAGTGTTAGGATTTTAAAAAAATTATCAGCGGGCATCATTTAGCGTTAGTCACTTTATATAAAATACGCCCTCCGTCTAGAAAAACCCTTCTCATTTGATTTGGGGGCAAAAATAAGGAAGTGTTAAATTATAGTTGATTTCTAATTTTGCCCCTGATGTGATGGGTAAAAGTAAGATGTGATGGATAGATTATTAGAGAAAAAGTATGATGTGATATGTAGGGTATGAAAAAGTAAGGGTAAAATTAGTTTTTTAATAAAAAGGGGAAGTGTTTTGTTGGAAGTGGAAAAAATGAAAGAGAAAGTGTTTTTGAGAACGGATGGAGTATATGATTTTTGTTTTTTGTTTCTGTAAGTTTTTTTTGTTTAAGTTATTGTTTACATTTTTTAAAATTTTGAAAATGTTCCTTAAACTTAAATAAAATTTCTAATTTGTTGAGATAACAAATTTATTTTGTACTCAACATCTTAGTCTTGTATTATTTAAATTAGGAGCATTATGTTAGAGGTAATTAGAAAATTGCAATATTGAGTATGAAATAAATCTAGTATCACAACTTTGTAGAAATGCTAATTACATTCAAGGATCAGTTTCAAAATAATTATTTTTTAAGAATCATGTTAACCGTAGAATAACCGCTAACATTAACAAAAAAGTTACATGGATGAAAACAAAAAATTATCTATATTACACAGACTAAGAACATAATACGTACGTAGTAACTTTTAATTTTACTTTGGGCCCGTTTGGGAATAGCGTTTTGAATAAAATTTTAACGGTGTAGATTGCTTTGAAAACGCTGACGCTAAACGCTGTCCGTCAATAATCTTTTCAAAACGCTAACGCTAATAGCTAAAGCTAATCCCTTATTACTCTAATCCGTATATAGAGATTTTTAAAAAAAGACTGTATTCACTACTCAATGATCATCCGTGGCATGATCATTCTTTTTCACTTATGTATAAATTTGAAAATCGGGTTACCCATTGGTAAGATAAAAAATCATAGTTAGGCTGTTTATTCTTTTTTTGCTCAATATTTGAAAGTAGGCAAATTTGTTTTGCTTTTTTAGGTCCAAACTTATTTTAAGAATTTTAATACATAACTGATTATACTTTGTTTGTATTATGCTATGTAAATGAAAAGAAATTCAATTGTTATCCCATAAAAATAGGAAATATGAGAAAAAAATTAATTTTATAAGGGGAATTTAGGACTAAATAATACTCCCTCCGTCCCAAAAAGTTTGTTACGTTTAGAAAAAACTGCGTCCCGTAAAGTCCGTTACATTTCTATTAAAAAACCACTTTTACCCCTTACTTTTTCATACCCTACCTATCACATCACACCTTTTTTCTTAGTAATCTACCCATCACATCCTTTTTTTACCCATCACATCAAGAGTATTTTTGGAAAGTCAATACCAAAATATCTCTCTCTTAATTTCCCAAAAAGTCAAACCGTCCCATTCTTTTTGGGACGGATTCTTTTTAGGACGGAGAGAGTAGAATTGTTAAAAGTGAACTCTTAGAAGAAAGTGGTGCAGTAGTAGGTCAGAAACCAAACCAGGCTTTTCTTTAATTACCCATAGACAGCCTGCAATCCAATTTTGTCTGGGGACAAATGTGAAACCCAATGGGGTTTTACCAAACTTGGGGAAACATATTTACTGCTACACTCATTTCTTGGTTAATTTCCTTCTCTCTTTCTTTTTTTTTAAAAAAAACGTGTGACTTTTGACCCTTCCAAAATTTTGTTCCAAAAGTAATGCAGCATACTTGTAATTAGCAGCCAAAAATTGAGAACCTTGTATGAAAACAACCTCTACTTCTCTCTCGGTGATTTTAGTGTAATCAGTTATTTTATGTGATTAAATTTACTTAAATTAGATAAAAATTCAAATTATATTGTTAAACGAGTTAGGATGTGTAGAGAAAACTACACACTCATTCAACCATATTACAAATTCATAGTGGAGTTTGGGGACGATAGTAAGGATAAAACGTCAAAATTGGCCTTCAACCGCAGAAAATTCTTCACACAAATGTTTGACTTTTAAGAGAATGTTCTTAGGACTTTTGTGTCTATATCTACACGCCAACGTTTGCATCTTTACACGAATGTTTATATCTGATCTCCAAATTTTGACACTATAAGAGAGTCTCACTGGTATGGTTAAGTAAAGAACTCGAAATGTTTGTCCGATTAGAATATTTTAGTATATCCGAAATAACTTTGATTCGAAATTAAAGCGTTTCCGCAAATCGTTAATATCAAGTTGTTTGCGTTTATTTTAGATTTTGAAAAAATCGCTTGGTGGATCATTTTGTTGTTTTTCACAATCAATCAAATGGTTGATTTTCCTCACTCAATTATGAACACCATTATTAGCAAAACTGCAAAACCATCATTAAAGCCAGAAGAAAACTTAAAATGAACATCACGATCATTACTATAGCTTAAAGTCAGAGAGTAGTGAAAATGTTTTAGTGGTACATTTATTTTTAATTCAATTTATTTGATTGTTATTGTAAATTTAAAACATAAAATTTATATATTTAAAAACTACATAAAAAATCTACAAAATAAGATGTGACAAGACTATGTTATCTTATCAAATAACTAACAAAAATAAGTAAAAAAAAATTAAAGTTTGATCATAGTAATAGTAACCGGAAAGAATGTTTTAGGAGGGAGAAGTAATTAAGATCTTCAATATTTTCATGTCAAAATATGATTTAATTTGTAACATCAAAATCAATGAAAAATACAAAGACACTATATATACGAAATTATGAATATTTCAGTGTCATCATATTCAGATGATAACAACATAAAATGTCTTTTTTAATACTCCCTCCAATCTATTTGAAATTTCATGTTTCGATTTACAATGCTGGAACAAAGTTATCATCAAATCCTTTTATATGAAAAACGGTGTAGAATTAAAAAAATAAAAATCACATATTTAAAAACTACATAAAAGATCAACAAAACTAGTGGTGACATAACTATATTATTTTATCAAATGATTAATGAAAATACTCAAAGAAAATGAATGAAATTTGACCACGTAAATAGTTGAAATGTAATTTAAGTTAGGATAGAGAGTATAAATTATGCAGTGGCCCTCTAAAATAAATAAATAAATTATATTGAGGATTTTATTTTGGAGACTTTTTAACCCTCATTAATATACGAAAAGTCAAATTATCCTAAAATCCACACTCATTTTATAGACTTTAATATATAAATATCAGGATGAATTGTACTCTTTGAAAAAAATTAAAGATCACCATGTCGGCACATGAAAAATGTGATAAAATTCACATTTCACATGTGATTCCTAGGATCATGGAATCACTATTTTTATTATACTCCCTTCGTCCATCAAAAAATTTCTACATTCAAAATTAGATTACACTATTTGAATAACGTGCAAAATTTCTTGTTTTTTAAGTTTAATATATTTATAAATTGGAATAAAAGAAAAAAATAATTTACAAATTTAAAAATAACATTAAAAAAATTATACAATTAGTGATGATAAAAATATTTTATTTTTTAAAAAATTAATATAAACATGAAAACAAATAAGAATTATCGAGAATCTAAAATAAAATTCATGTAATCTATTTTAGAAGGGTAAGAATTGGAAATATCATGCTAACTCCAAGCTCTATTTTAGAAGGGTGAGAATTGGAAATATCATGCTAACTCCAAGCTAGCTCTAACCCTTCTTTTTGGGACAAAGTAAGATAAGTGTCCATGTAGTCATGTACTCTCTAAAAATATTCAAATTAGTCACTCTATACAAAAACCAAAGTAATTTAGTTCCTACACTCTTTTTGTTGAGGTCTTTCTTTTTACTTTTATCTTATTTATTGCTCCAAATTATTATCGATGACGTCCATTTCAACTTGACATGCTAATTCATACTTTAAAAAAACTTTTTTCAAATAAGAATAACATATATTCGATTATTAAAAAGTAGGGATAAATTTAATTATTTTATAAGGACTAAAATAAGATTTGAAGTATGAATATTATGTCAAACATATGTTCATGTCATCTATAATAAAATTAGACACCATAGCTAAAAATTTGATGCCAGAAAAGTGAAGAGAAAGATCTAATTGAAAAGAAGAAGAAGAATAGTACAAGAACTAAATTAATTTAATTTTGAATACATGAACTAATTTAAACATTTATAAATAGTATCAGCACCCATACAAATGTCCCTCCTTTTTGTAACCTTCTAAAATAAAATCTTCCCTCATTTTAAAAAAATCAGTGGGGTTCTATTCAAATTGTAATCCAGTGTCAACGGATGACAGCTGTCTATATTTGAGTACTTTCGGCGCTCTGTTTACAAAATTGTTGGTTCTTATTCCCTCTAACCACCCCTAAGCCCTTAACTCAGTCCACATCCAAATGTGTGGTTATTATGCAATGCACAATAGTCACACATTTGGAGAGGCTGGGGTAGGACTGGGGTAAGGGGTTTAGTGAGATGGTTAGAAAAGGTGGAAACCATCAATATTACAAACGAAGTACCAGAAGTATTCCAAAATAGAATTTACATGTTTTATTTTTGAAATAGGACTTGCATTATCAAACATGGTCATGTACATTACTAAAAAAAGTATGGTAATTTGTACATATACAATGTCACGTTACTACAGTGCAATATCCTATTTCAAGGGAAAAAACATGAAAGACCTATTTTGGTACTTTTCTCTATATTTTAGTCCTATTTAAGATGATTTCTGTATTCCAAAATGAGTGGCACCGGAGTGTCACCGTATTCCGGTGTCACTAGAACCTTATCGGAAAAAATTGTGTTTATATTAGTCCGTATTTATTTCCCGTCATATATGTAAATCACAGTTTTAAATTCACTTAAACTCAATTAAAGAATGAGAATTTAGCTTACATTTGGATGAGGTGAATTTGGAGAGAAAGAAAAAGGTTTGGGAGAAAACACAGTTCCTAATAAACTTTCACATGTTTGAATGCAAGAGAAAATAATGGGAAGAGAAGAAAAAATGGCTAATGGGCCAAGGAAAAAATGACTATTTTGTCCTTCCTTGCATCCTATTACTGTCAAAACGGTGTCATATTGATTTTTCCTTTTCTTATTTATTTAGGACATGTTTGGAAATAGTTAACGTTAGCATTTTGAATAAAATTTTAACGATGCAGATTACTTTGAAAACACCAACGCTAGACGTTGTCCGTAGGTAACCTTCTTAAAATGCTAACGCTGATCTCTAACGCTATTTCCAAAGACCCTTAATATTTTATGCCAAAACGGCAGCGCTTTGAATGTATTTAGTAATGTGGTGATCATCTATGTGGAATGGATTCTTCAAACAAACGACCTTTTCTATCTTCAAAACTAAAGTTTACATTTTGGAAATTTTTTTCTTGATGATTAGCAGAAGGAACCAATAATGACACAACCAAACAGCACCTAAGCTTCATGCCAATCATGACATTCATGAGCTTCAAACTTTTAATCACTGTATAATAATAATAATACACAACAATAAAAGAATTTCATGCTAATCTATCATTCTTTGCTTCCCCTAAACACAAATATTGACAACAATTTGTGTGCGCATATACAAATTTGCTGCAAGGTATAATATAGATTCTTATATTGGCAAACAGAACGCCTGCAGAAAAACGTGGAAAATGCCGAAAATACCCCCCCCCCCCCCACGGGGGAGCGAGCTTTAGCAGCGTAAATAAATGGGGAAAATGACAGAGAGAACGATAAAAAACCTGCGCTCAAGACTTGCCCCTGCCCATGGCACTTTCGCGTTGGTTCCGAAAATGACTTAGAAGTTGTTGTGCCTGTTCCAACAAAAACAAAACCGATGATAAACTCTCAAAGTTTAGCTTTAGCGGTTTCAAAGTGATATAGAGCTAATCAAAAACGTCATTCCCAAGCACAAGAATTCGAATTCATGAAGAAGAAGGAGAAGAAGAAGAAGGTCGTAATGGGTTATAAATAAAACCTTTTCTTTTGCTCTAGTGGTACCAGATTGAGAGAGGGCAACGAGGGGAGGAACGGCGCCTTCTTGCAACACAAGCCGGCAATACTTGGCACTGTTCAGGCAGAGCTGCAACAGTATGGAGGCGGCGTTTTCCTTTCCCCGCTGGGACCCCACCTCCACTAACTCAACCAGCGGCGGGATTCCCTCTTCCCGGGCAATGGCCGAACAGCCTTCGGGTATGGTCGCCAGGTTCGCCAGGAGAGCGGCCGCTTTGTCCACCATCTCTGTTTCCGGCTCCAGAAACCCGACCAAGTGCCGCACCGCCCCTGCCTGGATTATGCGCGCCTTGTTCTCGTGGAAGATCGAGAGGTTGAAGAGCGCCGTGGCGGCGTCTTTCTTCCCCCGCATGGTTCCGGATCCGAGGAGGTCAACCAGCGCTTTGACCGCTCCGGACCGCCCGATCTTCACCCGATACTCCTCCAGAAGCGAGATGCTGAAGACCGCCGCGGCGGCGTTCTCCCTCGCGCTAGGGTTTCCCGTCCTTAGCACGTGGAGGAGCGGCTCCAGCGCGCCCCTTCCGGCGATCGCGCCTTTCACGGTCTCGTCTATCGAGAGGTTGAGAAGCGCCGTGACGGCGTGTTCCTGCGCGAGCGACGAGTTCGAGTGTAGCAGCGCGATCAACGGCTCGATCGCGCCGGAATTCCCGATCGCCGCCCGGTTCTCGGTGTTGTGTTTGGCGAGGCGCCGCAGTTCCGCCGCCGCCTGTACATCCGTCGACTGGCTCTGCAAATCTCTGACGAGTTCTTCAAGACGCGAAGCTGTGACTGTTTCGGACTGCGTTTGGGAGCAATGATTGTGGTTTCCTGATGAATGTGAATCAGAACAATTCTTATTCAAATCCATTGCTGCAAGTGGAAGATAATCTACACTGGAAGCAACACTTGATGCCGATTCGCTCCTGCTATGAACATATGAATGTTCTGGGGATGAATGATCGGACTTTTCTTCTGATTCCTATCAAATGAAGAAAAAAAACAAGAATGATTTTGGAGAAACCAATGCATAGATACATTAGGAACACAAACATACCCTTAGTTCTTCTTCCTCGGCGACTCTATCCGGAGTGGAACAAACATTGCCAGCTTTGTCAGGCCTCCATTTGTTCTGCTTGCACCAGGTTTCCACCAGATCTTTGACAGTGACATTGGGGATGAGGTTTGAGTGGGAGAGCTTAAGGCGCGTTTGGGGGCACGTATTCAGTCCCTGACCCATCCATTTCTGAATAGAGCTTCTCTCGTACGTTTGCCCGGACGAAACAATGACCGGATCCAACATGAGGGCCAGAGACAATGGGCACAAGAAATAGGGAGGGACTTTGAGCCCATCTGCGCAAGTCAATTCGTTGTCGAGTTTCGCCAATGAACTGCGGATTTGGGACATGAGTTCGGTCGCCCGGTGGATGTTTTCCCCTTTTCTGTGGTCTTCTGCTTTGAGTCTCTCCTTCTCCAGCGCGATGCACTCATTCAGAATCTCCTGAGAGGATGTGAGATTCATAGACTGTGTGATGGTCATAAGATGTTGGGAGGAAGGAGCATTTCCTTCCTTTAGCCTTTCGACAGCTTCCTTTATGCATTCTAACTTGTCCGGTTTTGAACGATTATAAAGCTCCTGCATTCGGCGCTGAAATGCATAACCGTCATCAGTATGTGTGTGTGTGTGAGAGAGAGAGAGGCCTCATTTGACAATTAGGTGAGGTGAAATGAAAAGTTAGTGTAAAGAATGATAGTTGTTTGGGATAAGAAGTTTTGTAATGAGATGAACAACAAACCTAGTAAAAACCTACAAAAAGTAAGGTTTGGGAGGGTGTGTGCAAATATTTTTTACAAAGATACAGTGTTTTTTAAAAAAATATTAACAAATAATAATAATACTAACAAAATAGTCAAAGCTAAGGATCAGTTTGATAGTACAAAAAATAACTTGTTGAGGAAAATTTGTTTTGTTTTTCATGAAGATGTTTTCTTAGAATATACAGTAAGTTGTTTTTCAGAGAAAAGACTTTTCAGTATAATGTTTGATCCACAAAAGTAGAAAAACATGAAACTGTTTCAGATAAACAACTTCCTGTTTTCTCAAACAGGAAAATGTTTCCAATGCACAGCACACCAAAGACTTCGCAGGAAATTGTTTTCCTATGCCAAACAAAAGAAAACATTTCCCAAGAAATGCTCAACCTAAAAAACAAACTTGTAGTTAAAGGTCCAAAAAAAGATTTTATACTCCAACACGTCCAAAAAAATTGTGTTTATATTACTTCGTATTTATTTGGTGGCAAACATTAATTTTAAAAAAATGGGTGATGGTAAGGTTGAGCAAGGCTGTGATATCATGTCAAAGAACCATTTGAACCAAAAGTTCAAGATCGTGTTTGTAAGCCCAAGATAGGTTTTTTACTCACCTCGGTTTCATATAGTCTCAAATGAGACGTTGATGGTTCTAACAATCCACATAAAATGTGAGAAATGTCAAGAGAGGAGTTCTTGATTTTCAGTAGTAGTTGCTTGCTCTGCAAAACCTGGTTACATAACACCAAAACACAACAAGATAAACATAAGAAAATCATCATCTTGAAAACAACAACCCTTCAAATGTTTTGTTTTTTCAAAACTCAAAGATCTTCAATTCAAAATGCACTCACGGAGAGAATCTTGCTCTTCTTTGGAGAATAACTCTCCAGGAATTCCCGGGCTTCATTGACAGTCATGTCCAGTTCTTCACACTTCCTGCAGACACGTTCGTCCAAAGGCACTTTTTTGTCAACAGCTTCATCCAGAACAGGTTTCAAAAGTTTCAACACACTTGCAGTGTCTTCAAAATCTCTCTGGCCAAACGCTGCCTTAGATGTGCGACAGGATACGAGAAGAATGAACCTAGAAATGCTGTTTATAAGGCATCCTACGGATGTCGAATCCATTTGACCTATACACACGAATTCGGGCCAATTGAGTTCATCAGCCCCATAAGATCACACAATGCAGATGGGAAATGTTAACAGTATAAAAGCTCAAATGGGTATAAATCCTTTGCCAATTGTTAGGGCATGAAACCTTTCTTGTACCTTCAAACACAAGCTACAATAGTTTCTTCACAAGAAATGAAATTAGGGCAAATTGGGTCCAAATGCAGACCAAACATTAACACAAACTGTTCCTATATGCAAGCATCAAAATCAAATTTTTTTTAAAAAAGAATTGAACCCGAAGAAATGTTTTCGTTCATAAACGCAGAGAGATTGGAAAGAAGAAAGGGTCGAATTCGTACCTGGGCTAGGATGAGGAGCATGAAGAAAGAACAGATCTTGGAGAAACAATGGAGGAATCCGGGAAAGGAAGAAGCTTTAACAAGAAAGCTGAACAGACCCCATTGAAGAAAACATCAGAATTAATGTGACCCCTTTTCTCCAACAATCATTACAGAGGTGCCAACCCATTTCGGTGGAGATTGAGAGAGAGATGGAAAGAATTTTTCTTACAGTATTGTTTTTTTACAGTATTTTTTTCAAAGATAGGGTTAGAAACGGTCGCCGGTGGCTGCAGAAGATTTGTGGCATTTCTTGGTGGGATTAAATTGACGTCTTCAATTAAGAAACCTGCAAATCAACTAATCAAAGGTTAAGAAACCAAGGAAGGAAGAGTATTTTGTGAGAATGCACAGATTAGCCATTATTAGCATCCAGATATACTCCGTATTGCGGAGTATTATCTTCATCCAAGTGCCCCCTAGTTTGACTTTTTGGTCAAAAATAGAACAAATTTTAGACTTCAATCAAATAAAAATTATCCCTTCCATTTTAAAGTGAATTTCTCATTTATTTTTTACGGTTTCTAATACAATACTTTGATCATAAATATCTATAGTTTTACATAAATATATACTCTGTATTATAAAAATATTTTTTTTCAAAACTATGTTTCGAAATAAATTTAATGATATATTAAAATTCAACGTATTTTTTCTGTAATATGCAGTCAAAGTTTAAAAGATTTGACTGCAAAAATGAAACTGAGAAGTTATAATTTTAGGACAGAGAAAGTATAATATATTTGTGCAAAAATGAAAACTTTTAAGTTTTTATTTTATTGAATTGATATGCAATATAAATCTACAATAATTGATGATTAATGTGTGCTTAATTTGTGCAAAAGTGTTGAATATCTATGTTTGTTTTTTATATTAAAAATAATATTACGACATGTGTTCTTCTAGCATTGCCCGAAAAAATAAACCACATCATACAGCTTGTATGGATTAGTCTGAATAATAATAATTTGTCTTTAATCTTAAACGGATTAATAGGGTATGAGAAAGAAGATTGTCCTCTTAGCTTGTACGTGTAAGAATTTCTTCTTATGCATGATCGTCTTTTATCATTGTTGTTTGGAGTTGAACCAAACATTATTTCATTTTGTATCCTCTTATCTATTGACCAACTAAATTACGTTATCTGAACTCATTTTCAATAGTTTTATCGTAATATAAGCTTATTTTTTTAATCCAATTTTCATTTTTTCTGAAGTTTTATGTCCATCTTAGCCTTATGAAAAAGGTCACATGGTTAATTTCAAATTTACCAATGTCTCAAGTGAGATATACCAAAGTTTGGTCTTCATGTACATTCATGCAAAAAATATATATAACTAATGTTAAATTTTGAATTGCTTCGTATATTTTAGTTAGTTAGAGAAATGTTTAAAAGTATTAAAGCAAAAAGTCATCCATTAAATATGATTTTCAATATTCTAATGCTAATGCAAAAAGGGCAAAAAAAATAATCATCCTTTCATTTTAATTCAGGTGTTTATTTTCACAATACCACTTATTTAGGAAGTTGGACTAATGTAAGAAAAGGTAGGACAATTTTACATTAATTCTTTGAAACAGAAGAACAGAACAATCGATTATAACACACACATGTAAAGGAACTGCAGACTTTAAGAGTTTAAGACCAGCATAGCAGTCAAAACAACATTTGCCCAAAACAACTGAAAAACTACACTTTGTATACATAAATTCCAGTTTGGTTGTGTAGAATAAACATCAAATTTTTCCCAGCATCTCAATCAGCTCTACTTTCTTCAGTTTTGAGTACCCTTTCAGACCACGGGACTTCGCAAGCCCCCTCAGTTCAAGTACTGTCATTTCGTGCAACTTGTCAGTGTCAACTTCTTCTTCTTCCTCTTCTTTTTCTTGTTCTTCTTCTTCTTCTTGTTCTTCTTCTTCTTCTTCTTGAATGTTGCCATTATGAATCTCACTACTCGCATCTTCATCTGAACTTAATTTGTTACTTTCCCCATCGGCATCGACAGGTGCAATTGCATCTAGTGAATCTTCCCCAAAAGAATAACTGGACTGAATCTTGACCCTCGAAAGTGGCGATCTCTTTCTGAAGTTTGATTTTGGTCGGTCCAATACAGTCGCTTCACTCTCTTGTTTCTCAAGCATCGAAATGATTTTAGATTCAATCACATCTTTGCCCTCGTCAGACCTATCAATGGTTTTCTCCTCTTCCTGAATGAAGTCAGCACTGTCAATGGTTTTCTCCTCTTCCTGAATTAAGTCAGCACTGCCAATGGTTTTCTCCTCTTCCTGAATGGAATGCTTCCTTAAAAGCTTCACAAGAGAATCAACTGCTTCGCTCTCTTTACCGTCGCTAACCTTTCTTGACACCTCTACTTTCCTTTCCTCTTTCGCAGTTGCTGCTGCTCTTGCACGGAGTTGGGCCTGAACCTTCCTGAACAGTTCAACAATCTTCTTCTCCCTATGGCCCGGAGTTACATTGGGTTGGGCTTTTGGTGGTTTCGAAGACAACGTATCAGACTCTCCTAAATTCTCATAGTCATCACTGTCTTGGGTTTTCCTGTTCCTACCACTTCGGGATGTCCCATGCTTGTTATAAGTTGAGAATTCCGGATTCCTCCTACGGTTGATAGGCCTACTAGCGGCATTACAAACAAAAGATGTGCTCCTCGCAGTTGTTTCTAGGCACAAAACATTGACCATTCCAAATTTATCGCGGCGACATGGTATTATGTTCACTAGTGTTGCAGATTTCCCAGCGCATGGGAAACATTTGCCATGTGACAAGCCACCACATCCTGAAACAAGTTATGGAAGGGCATTCACATATAACTTAATCAAGAAACCATCTGAAATCCAATATGTTCAGCAGCTACTTAGAAGGCCATTGTGCATTAATGATTGTAAACCCCCAAAGAAATCAGCTTGGTCAACTGAACGGCTATGGAGTATAAGCACCTCAGAGGAAAAACCAATTATAAAGAAACCTCCCACCCACACGGGCTTCAGTCAGACACAAAGAATGGAAATTCAAATGTTTACACCACTCACTCTACAGCGTACTAAAGGAAAGCCGAACAATAACGCTGGAAAGATGAAAACCTTGCAGGCATTTCATCGAACACAAAGCGTGCAGATAGTAAAAATTTTAAAAATCAAAACCCACAGAAACAAAAATGGCCCAAAATGGTAACTTTAAGCCACCATTTAACAAAGAACGCAGAGAAAGATGATGCCGAACCAGAAACGTAAGTGTTTTCTTACATAATCTATGAAGCAGGAAAGAAGGTTGTCCGCAACCTTATACCCTGGAAATGAAGCAGAGATATTTACCTGAAAAGCTTTTGGCAGTGAAATCAACTCTGCACAGCATTGCTTTGAAACCAATCCGAGCTTAGAGGATTTTGAAATGGCGGTTTTGCTGCCCTGGTTATATGTGATCGGGAATTTGGGTGGGTGGCTATGGAAAATTCGGTATTTGGGCCTTGCGGGTGGACATAGAAACGGCTACCGGCCCATGAATGAAGGAAGAACAAACTTTTTCTAAAAGTGGGTCTGGAAAGAGAAATTAGGATCAATCATTCGGGCTTTGGACAAAGCCCGTTAGTAAAGAGACCAAGTTTTGGACAAACCTTACAAGCTTAAATCCGGCCCGGTATCCTCCCATAAAAAGTCTAAGATTTTTAACATGTGAAATTTGCCTGAAATATGATTAAAACATAAGTCATTTTTCAATATAGGACTTAAACTATTTAATTTCTTAAATAAGACTTAATAATGAGTAGTGAGAAAAATAATGTCCAAGTGATACTGAACATTTAGTTGAATAATAACTAATAGATAATGACCAATGGTCCTACATTGAGAAATAAAAACATATAATCCTATATTGAGAAAGTCATTATATTTTAATCTTAATTAGGTAAAGTACCCTTTTAACATTCTTAAGAAATTTCTCTCTAATCTCTATCCCTTTATGTTATTCTTAGTTTGAGCCAATACAATTTTTAGTACACATTACAATATCGTCGAGTGTGAATGTGTAAAAAAAGAAACAGGTAATTATGAATCATAGAAATGATAATGACAGTGGTCGTGACCACGGCGAGAATCACGCAAGTATAAAGGGTAAGAAAATATTTTTGAGGGTAAGAAAATATTTTTTGAAAATATGGAGTATAAGGGTAAAAATGTTTTTTAGCATAAAGTGGAAGTTTTTAGAGAAAAAACAAAAAATAAAAAAGAAAGTGTTTTAAGAATTAAAGGAAAAATAATTTTAAGACTCTATAAGAAATATTTGCACTAAATAGCACTAAAACTTAAGTCATTTCCCTAAATAGCACTTAAATAGTTTTATTTTCTAAATCGCACTTAATAATGTCCATAATGTGCAGTGATGACGAATATTTACTTGAATAATGATTAATGCATAATGACTAAAAGTGCTACATTGGGAAGAAAAACACATATTGTGCTATTCAGGGAAAGTCATTATGTTTTAATGCTATTTAAGTAAATTTCCCCACTCTATAATCTACTCCTTCGATCCCAAAAAGATTGGTACATATTGACTTTTTGGAAAATTAATTAAGAGAGAAATATTTTGGTGTTGACTTTCCAAAAATATCTTTGATGTGATGGGTAAAAGTAGGATGTGATGGGTAGATAATTAGGAAAAAAGTATGATGTAATAGGTAGGGTATGAAAAAGTAAGGGGTAAAAGTAGCTTTTTTAATAGAAATGTAACAGATTTTTGTTTAAACATGTCTGATGGAGAGAGTAGTACCTTTTTTATTATTGAATGTTGGCCCACATGCATGGTGCCATGCATATACGCCGGAGCGGCACAGAGCTCCCGGACAAGAGAAAAGCTGTGGTGGCCGATCCACATATATTTATAAAATCTCGATCATGAGAGTATTGTGCCACATAGCTTCGCTCACACAGACTTAGGTGTTAGCCATGCACGTAATCAATAGCCATGCAGATTGTCCGTTTCTCCCCTTATTTTCTCCCATATAAACCCTACTACCATTCCCTTCGCCGCTTCACACCACATCTCCATCCATCTACCAAATACCTATTTGCAATCACTTCAATACAATGGCAGCCACACCAACTCGAGTCTGGGCTTTGCTCGGCCTTCTCCTCCTCTTCCAAGGCGGCGCCTTCGGCCGCCGGAGTTTCACCGGGAGCCGGGACGAGTGCCAGCTCCGGCGGATCAAGGCCTTCGAGCCCTCCCTCCGCGTCGAGGCGGAGGGCGGGGTGACGGAGCTTTGGGACCCCTTGAATGAGCAGTTCCGGTGCGGGGGTGCCCATGCTTTCCGCCATGTTATTTACCCCAATGCCACTCTCTTGCCTTCCTACACCGGCAGCCCCCTCATTGCCTACACCCTACAAGGCACGCCTTTATTCTAAATTCTAAAATTTAGATTTATACTATGATTAATTTACTTAAATAGCACTAAAACATAATTATTTTTTCTTAATAGCACACATGTGTTTTTTTTAGATTTAACACTTTTAGTCATTATCGATTAGTCATTATTCAAGTAAATGTGTCTTATCATAGGACATTATTAAGTGCTATTTAGGGAAGAAATAATTTAGGTATTATTTAGGAAAATGAGTTAAATTTTAGTGCTATTTTGTGCAAATATTTTTTATTATATCCTGTCAACCCTGACTTTTTTTCCTGACTTGTTTAGTTTTAACATTTTAGGGTCTATTATTTTTTATTTTTTAATACTCCCGCTACCCTCCGGTTCTAAAACTCTTGCTTGGACTATATTTTTAGTCAAAAAATGACAATTTTGACTACAAATTAAGTATAATCTAAATAAATTAATGTTATAAAATTTTATATGTTGATTATATCTTAAAATGAACTCAATTATATTAAATATATATTATAATATTCTCAGATTTTATGATAAAGAGTGTTATGATTTGAAAAAAAATCAAAATAAAATAAGTTTTTATGGCCGGAGGGAGTACCATTTTTATTTAGTTAATTGTAAAAATTGGATCAATTTTTATTGTAAAAATTAAAACTAGAAATAAAAATAGTATATGTATAGTTCATGATATTTTTGGAATTTTGGTGTTATAAATTTTAAAACAATGAAAATCATGTTTTAAGTAACGTGATTTTGTAATTAAATGTGTGTCTGTGTGTGTGATGGAAATCTATATATGAACAGGGGAAGGGAGATTTGGGATAGTATTCCCGGGCTGCCCGAACATACACAGGTCAATACGAGGGGCAGACCAGCACCAGAAGATAGGGACCTTTGAGAAAGGGGACATAATAGTGTTTCCAGAAGGGGCAGCTCATTGGGTGGCCAACACTGGAAAAGACGATGTTGTCCTCATCGTCATTCAGGACACCTCCAACTCTGCTAATCAGCTTGACGCTAATCCCCTCGTACGTCTATTAAAATATACTCCTTAGCTCTCCTAAAAAGTTTTCGAATTTTTTATTTTTGATAAATAGCACTAGAACATGAACATAATGGATTTTTTAAATAAATCATTTGTTTTTAGTCAATTTTCCATTAGTGATAATTTTGTCATTTTTTCTTTTAATCTATGCAGAGATTTTTCCTCGCCGGTAATGGGCAGTCGAAAGAGGAGGAAATGAAACGCCGCCGGCAGAAACAGGGGAAGGGAGAGGAAGAGGAGGAGGAAGGCAGCCAACGATCGGAACAGCAACTCCTAGAGAGGCTGGGCTACGGCGCCGGCAACATTCTGGGCGGGTTCCGGTCCCGGTACGTCAGAGACTCGTTCCGGACGGACGAGGACACGGCGGAAAATCTTCAGGGAGCAAAAGACGTGAGGGGCCACATCGTACGCCTCGAAGCAGAGGATCTTCTCTCCATTCTCGCCGTGCCGTTCTCTTCCCAGGAGGACGACAACGACCGATCGTCCTCCTCCGCCGGTAACGGCGTGGAGGAGACCATCTGCACCGCCAGGGTACGGCAGAACATCGACGACTCCTCACGCGCCGACATCTCTGACCCACTCGCCGGTTACTTCTTCACCGTCAACAAATATACCCTCCCCATTTTCGGCCTGATCAAACTCAGCGCCGGCCACGGCTCTCTTAAAAGGGTACGTCGTCGACATTTTTCCTAATAATTTTCTCCAAAATAGTCCCCAACAAAGTAAATAAAGATTGTCTCCGTGAATAATGAACGGGAATGATAACTTTTGGACAAAGGAGTAACATACTCTTTCGGTTCATTTTTTACTATACGCATCTCACAAAAGTACTGATGACATTCCATTTTTCAGAACTGGGGGATAGTGCCAAAATGGTGCATGAACGCGCACAGCTACGTGTACGTGATGAGCGGCAGTGCGAGAGTTCAGATCGTGAACAATCGGGGGGGCTCCGTCATGGACGGCGAGGTCCGGAGGGGGCAGCTGTTCCTCGTGCCCCAGAACTTCGTGGTGGCTATGGAGGCGGCGGGAGAGGGCGGGTTCGAGTGGGTGGAGTTCAACACCAACGACGACGCCATGTTCAACACGCTCGCGGGGACCGCCTCCGTCGTCGCCGGGTTCCCGGCCGGAATAGTGGCGGCGGCGTACCGGCTGCCCCACCAGAAGGCGGAGGCGCTGAAGCGGGACATGTTGAACAGTGTCTGGTTCTTCAAGTCCTCTTCCTCTTCTTCGGGAGGAGGAATGAGATCATCGTATCGATCTATTCTTCGTTTGGAATAGAATTAACGAGTCCGGTGTATGGTTTCGCGTTTGGTTTAAAGAAATTTGGAATAAGAGAGGATGAGAGAGTGGATGTGTAGTATAATAATGTGACGTTTTGTAGCTATGTTCGAGAAATAAATTATGAGATGAATAAATTGTTGTTTTTTGTCGTCATATTTGTATCATGATGACATTGTTACAGTCAAATGGCATAACTCTACACTCCCTTATGTAATTTAATTTTTACTTAAAACTAGAGCATATGCATGACTTGAAAATAATACTTCATACTACGTATTAGATAGTGATACACAAATAATTTTATATCATTTATTATAAAAAATATTCTTAAAATATAATTTTGTCTAATTAATATGGAGTATAATATATATTTTACTCCGCATTTAATTATAGATCCGAGTTTAATTTGAGAATCATTAACTTAAAAAATAAAGTTAGACAAATATTCAAGAATGAAGGTAATAATACGTACTATGTACTTCTATCCAGCAAAACATTCCCTGTTTTGTTTTTTAAGACGGGAAATTGTTGAAGTTTTACTAAAGTAAAACAATGATAATTGAAATAAGTAGGGCTCAAGAATTGTCAGAATGAATAGGTTGTAGAAAGCACTTGAGGTAAGTTCAGTTACATTTAAAAAAAGATAAATCGATCAATTATGTCTATTTAGCCAAAATTGAAATATTTTATGAGACATAAAATATATAAATTGAAAAATTTTGCGGGATAGGTAAATTATTACTTATAAAACCAGTTGCAAAATATACTCTCTCTGTCCCGGAATGTTCGTCCAGTTTAGATTTTTGAAACTGTTTATCTAAGCACTTTGACTCATCAAATTCTCTCAATGTGTAAGCCTAAATATAGTCATGTGTGATCTTGTTTGATTTGTCTTAACATATAGATTATTAATATATAATTTATATAATTTTTTAATATACTTCCTTCGTCCCAAAAAGTTTTACACATTTTGACTAAAGTGAAAATTAAGGAAGAGATAATTTTGTGTTGACTTTCCAAAAATAACCTTGATTTGATGTGTAAAAGTAGGATGTGATGTGTAGAATATAAGAAAAAAGGTATGATGTGATAGTTAGGGTTTAAAAAGTAAGGGGTAAAAGTGGTTTTTTAATAGAAATGAGTAGGAGATTGTGGGACGCAATTTTTTTGAAAGATGTAAATCTTTTTGAGACGGAGGGAGTACAAATTACAAGATAAAATAGATTAAAGAAGTGTATTGGATGGTGTGTAAAAATGAAAGTAGCGTACCATGAAAATTCGGGTCAATGATAAATACATTAATATACAAACGGTCGGATATGCGGAATATATGCCATATAGTAGAAGCTATACCAATATGAATTGATCGAATATGTGTGCGGAGAAATTACGCAAATGAAAGTAAAGAGTTCATGTGCCACTTACCGCTATAAATGGTCTATACATATAATTCCTTAAGCTTTTCTTCTTCTTCTTCTTCCCATCTCCAATCTCCATTTAGATGATGTATTGCGGCCTGAACTAAAAGGGCCTCTTCCGCCCCGCCGCCGCCACAAGAAAGCTGTTGAAGCTCTTCTCCAACCCCTTCCGACTCCGCCGCCTCACCCCCAGATCCAAAGTCATCAAGAAGCCGCCCGTCGTCAATAAGAAGAACAAGCCGCGTCCAACGCTGCTGTTCGACGCGGCTGCCCCCAGGAAGACCGGAGCTTCCGGGTGGCGGCCGGGGGCAAGCAGAACCCGCGGAAAGTGCTGCAGGTTTCGGTTCTTGCCGGCAGGCAAGAAAAGGGCGGCGGGGCCCGTTTACGTCGATCAGCTGTTTGTGGCCCCGCCCCCGGAGAATTCCCGCCATCATCATCAGCTTCTGGGAACAAATAAGTTCGCAAAAGCTGATGATGATGATCAGAGTGTTGGTCCTGGTCATGTCTTAATAAGATCATGCGACGAAAACGAAGGGGGTGTTGGGGCGGAGGCGGATGCGATTTGGGAAGCGATGGTAGTATCGTCGCCGGAGATGGAGGGAATAGACGAGAGGGCGGAGGCGTTCATCCCAAAAAGATTTACACGTTTCAAAAAAATTGTGTCCCACAATCTCCTACTCATTTCTATTAAAAAACTATTTTTATCCCTTACTTTTTCAAACTCTACCTATCACATCATACCTTTTTTCTAATAATCTACACATCATATCCTACTTTTACCAATCACATCAAGGGTATTTTTGGAAAGTCAATACAAAATTATCCCCCCTTAATTTCAACTTTAGTCAAAATGGGTAACACTTTATGGGACGGAGGGAGTATTGTATTGTATTGTACTATGGCAAATTGTGATATACGTACAAGTAGCGAATTCCCATTGTTGTTTAGCTTCGGCAAAATAATGCACAAATGTCATGCACAAAGTTACAATAATTGCGAGTACGTAGTATTGTAGGACCACAATAAATTTTGTTTATTTATATATGCCTTTCACTAATCCTAATTTATGCAAGTTACACTGATACACTCTCCTAATTTATGCCCTTGTATAGACCTGGCAAAAAATAACCCGACCTGTTTTTGACCCGAAACCCGACCTGAAAACACTGGGTTTTGAACAATGGTTTTGATGAGCGAACCCGAAGTTGACCGAACCCGAAATGACCCGCTAAAAATGGGTCAAACCCGACCGAACCCGAACCCGACCTGACCGACCCGCTAAAGTAAGAATTTTTCAAAATCATACACTTTACTACTCGTTTTTAGTGTACAAATTTATATTTGCAGAGAAAATTTTAATGATATTGCATAATTATCTTACTTTTTTCCAAAACTTAAGCATTTTTAAAATCCTTATATTGATTTATATATCTAAAAAATTACTTCAGAGTTTAAAATAAATCAATTTTATAGATTTAATACATTTTTTTTGATATTTTAAATTTATTTAATAGAAAATGTAAGTGGTAATGTGAATTTAAAAATTTTAAAAATCAAAGTTATAACCCGTTGGGTCGACCCGAACCCGACGATACTGGGTCATGAACATACAGTTCTCAACCCGAACCCGAAATAACACGAACTTGAAGTGACCGAACCCGAACCCGACCTGACCGACCGATTTGCCAGCTCTACCCTTGTATAACAAGTTACAAGCATTTGGTCTTTTTACATTTTCTGGTCTCAATTATGGCAATTGTAGGTTCTAATCCACTAGATCGATTTCAATAGAAACCTAGAGATTCCACTGTATTAACAATTGAAATCTGCAATTTGCTAAGAAGTTAGAACAGGCGAAGGTGCTATGTGTGAGACTGTTAGAACTGAAGGTCAAAGGCTACAAAATGCGATCTGGCCTGGGTTCAGAGTAATAAGAGGTCTTAACAAAACTATCATCAATATCTTCGTGAATACATGTAATCTATGAAAATAAAGTTGTTGACTTGTTCATCCCACATCGGCCTTATATTGTGCTGCTATTTAATAGCTTGGGTAACTCAACCTCTTGAGTTAATTTTTGGGGTTGAATTGGGCCCAAGTCTATTGTTTCAACAAAAGTCCCGTTTGGTACACGAAATTCAAACTATGGAATTGGAATTGAGGACTTCAATTCTAATTCTCATGTTTGGTAGCACAAAAATTATGTGGATTTGGAATTGGTAGTGCAAAATATGAATTGGAATTGGTGAATTCAATTCTATGGAATTGAATCTTTTGAAATTTCAATTCCAATTCCATCAATTCTGTGTACCAAACGGATTCTAAATCTATTTTAAAGTTTGGATTTTTTTTTTGAAGTAAAAGTTTGGATTTAGCTTAGGTTAAAAATGGAAATTCAGATGTAACTACCAAGTCAAGTGGATTTTTTTTTTCAGAACAAAAACCTGTGTGTAAGCTATTCAATGTTTGATATCTAGAAATATAAGTTAGACTTACATAATCATTTTTCACAAACAAAGGGTTAACTAATTACAAAATCGCACGTCAATATTTAACAGGTTTAGTGTTGTCATGATCGTTGATATAGGACATAGTTGGGTACAATATTTTAAAGTTTGATAAGTAGTCTTGTATGGCATGGTTTTTGTAGACATTCCTAACCAACACCATCTCACACCTCGTACATAAAAAGGAAGAAAAATAAATGGGGAGAGGTAGCTCATACCTTGTATTAAAAAAGTAGGCTCCTCAATGCAGGTAATATTTTCTAATTTTATAGTGATATTTTAGTTGGCTCGAATTATATAACTTTAAACAACAGGCGAACCCTAAGATCAAGTAAGTAAAATGCTTTAAAGCTCACATATGTCATTTAAAATCCTACTCCGTAGTTTTTAAATTCCAAAATAGACTATGTTCCATCCGTACCCCTAGCCCAAATGAACAAAACTCCATTGTGGTTACATAACCATTTTTTTTTACTTAGTGTAACTTACCATATTTTCTTTTTCTGCTTAGAAATAAATTCACAGTGGTTTAACCTAACCAAGAAAAATCATACTAATATAGGTTAATGTACCTTTTTGATCATAAAGCACTTTACCCAAATCCTTTATGATCAAAAAGGTTTGTTGGCAATATCCTGAGGGAGAATCTGTTAAACTTAACCTTGCTAGAGGACAATTTCCTCATCAAACTATTGCAGCTGCTGTCCTAAGGAATAGCAAAGGGGAATTCCTTTTTGGTTATGCTTCTTCCAGCCCTAAACCAAAGTACATGGTCTATTTGGAAGTTGGAGTCCAAGTTCTAAGTTGGGGACTGGCGCATGGCTTCAGAAGCATTATCATTGAGACTGATGAAGGGGAGGTTCCCTTCCTTCAACTTGGGATTAACCCGGAGCAAGATGACTATTTAAGAAAGTTTCACTTTCTTCTCTCTTGTGTTAAGAGCTCCTTTGAGGTGTGTGAGAAGCAAGTAAACAGACTGCCTCATTTCTTGGTGACATGGAGCNATAGCAAAGGGGAATTCCTTTTTGGTTATGCTTCTTCCAGCCCTAAACCAAAGTACATGGTCTATTTGGAAGTTGGAGTCCAAGTTCTAAGTTGGGGACTGGCGCATGGCTTCAGAAGCATTATCATTGAGACTGATGAAGGGGAGGTTCCCTTCCTTCAACTTGGGATTAACCCGGAGCAAGATGACTATTTAAGAAAGTTTCACTTTCTTCTCTCTTGTGTTAAGAGCTCCTTTGAGGTGTGTGAGAAGCAAGTAAACAGACTGCCTCATTTCTTGGTGACATGGAGCTGTAACCAGTCACACTCCTTCTAGTTTTTCTCTGTCTTTGACCTGCCCCTTGAAGCACAAAAGTTACATCAATTTGATCTTAGACAATTTCCCAGTTATGCCTCGACCAGTGCTAAACCTGGTAATGATGATCCCCTCCGTTAGCCCCTTATGTTGTTTGGTCTGGCCTACTTGGTGGGCTATTCTTTACTCCATTGTTTCCATAACGCTTGCTGTTGACTACATTTGGGATTATCAAGAGGATGTTTTTATTCCTTGTTATGTTCTCTCTCTTTTATGGTGGTATGCTCTTGTGAATTATGGTTATGTTTGTGGTTCTATTTGGTGGCTTTGTATGGAGCGTTATTCTGTGAGGAATCTTTACAGCTATATAAAAACCATTACGTTTGCCATGACTATGAAGAATTTTATTTATTTTCTTCTAGTCTTGGTGGGTATGGTTTTGTGTAGTTGGGTAGGACCAGCCGTTGGCTTGGCTGTTTTGCTCCGGTGTGAGTGTGGTCCTACCCTTTTGAAGTACCAGATTGTGAGGTTGTGCTCTTTGGCCATTGTGCTTCGTTTGGACTTGTTGTGTTGTTTTGTTGTTAGGACCGTTTGTGGCATTGGTCATGCCGTAGTATAGTGGTTTTGTTGCTAGTTAGGACCTTCTTGTGGTCTTGGTCAAGCCTTTTTCTAGGTTCCCTTACCCCTTACTTTTGAGGATTGTTCCCCTCGGAAGGTTTGTCTTTCGTATGAGGGGCTAGTTTTAGGCCTCGGTTTAGTCCTCCCCTCCTTTTGTATCCTCATGCTTTCTTAATAATAGCTGGTAAGGGTTGCCTAGACCTTACCCCACCGAGTTTGGTGGTTTGCCTGCTGGGAAAAAAAATATAGGTTAAGGTAGCAGTCCCAAATGATAGAATATATATATTGGAGGGGAATACAACCCCAATTAGGACTAAGAAACAAGAAGAATAACTGACTGAACAGAGAGAATGTCATAACTAATACTACAATAATTAGAATTAATGTTATTGTCTATCAATCTTGAATGCAAAAAAGTTTAATTGCTTAGAATTCTCCATGAGATAATCAAAATAAGTAGGGGTGTTCATCGGTCTAAGACCGGACCAAACCGGACCGACTTGGACCATACCAAAGACCGAATTGATTAAAATCACGGATCAAAGACCAGACCTAAAATTATTCGAGTTTGGACCGGACCGGACCGAAATAAATAGGACCGAACCAGTTCAAACCGATTGGACCGAATGAAAATGTAATTTTTTAAAATTATTTTGATCAATTAAATAAAAACATGAAACAAATTATGAAAAACAAGCACGAGGGTATTTACGTAATTTTCTTGTTTATCCTACCTCACATTGTTGGTGTAAACTATCAAAATGTTTGTGTATAACTGCAGTGTACAAATGGGGTACAATTTTTGGTTTAAGTTTAGCATGACCCAAGTGTGAAAGACGAGTAAGGCCCCCGTTCCGTTCAACTTATTTTTTCTTATTTTTTCTTATTCTTATTAAAATCAGATCAGACCAGATCAGATCAGATCGAATCAGATCAGATCAGATCCAATCAGATCAGATCAGATTTAATCAGATCAGATCAGATCCAATCAGATCAGATCAGATCCAGACTTATTAAAATCAGATCCCATCAAGAATTATTATTATTATTATTATCATCATCATCATCATAATCACCATTATCATCATTATCATCATCATGATCATCATCATCATCATTTTTATTACATTGTCAATCTAATTCTACTTTTAAAATATATTTTTATTGCTACTTGTAATTTGAGTTTCTAAACTTTTGATCTTTTATAAGGATGAGATATTTTAATAAAAATACTATCTCTTCTATATATTTATTATCTAAATTTAATTATTTTTAATGTATATCTAAATTAAATATTTATTCTAATGTATAATTCTAATTTTACAAAAAAATAATCATAAAATAAAAATATTATTACATTATAATATGAATGATTATTCTAATATATGAATTGACTATTTTTATTTTGATAAAAAATAATCATTAAATAAAAAATGTTGATTATATTATAATATGAATTATCATTACAATTTTCAAACGTTTTTATAAAGTCAAATTAAATAATTGATTTAAAATTTTAAATTAAATCATAATTAATCAGATCAGATCAGATCCAATCAGATCAGATCCAATCAGATCAGATCAGATCCAATCAGATCAGATCCAATCAGATCAGATCAGATCTAATCAGATCAGATCATATTCAATCAGATCAGATCAGATCCAATCAGATCATATCAGATCAGATCCAATCAGATCAGATCAGATCAGAACTTATTAGAATCAGATCAGATCAGAAAAAATAAGTTGAACGGAACGGAGCCTAAGTATATGGTACAACCGAGTGTACCTAGAGATAGGTACATCCGAGTAGTACTCATTCTGAAGTTAAGTGGTACTCATTCTCGCACAAACATAATAGTTCATTTGGAATAGCGTGGTACGCATTTTGAAATAACGCAATACACATTCTAAAATAACATAGTACTCATTTTCACACACTTATACGATATTTATTTACGAATAACATAATACTCATTCTAAAATCTAGTACTCATTCCCAAATAGCCTAGTACTCATTCTTAAATAACATATCATTCATCAAAATCTAAAATTTTGTTGAAGATCATATTAGAATTAGAACAGATTTGGAATTAGAGCTTTGTCAGCCAGATCTGGAATCGCGGATCAGAAGAGTCTTTTTCATCACCGATCAATTTCGCCCGAACCTGCCGTCTTCATCGTCGATCGATTTTGCCTGAAACTGCCGCAGATTGATTTTGCCTGCCGCAATAGATTCCTGTTCCAGATTGATTTCAGTTTCTCCCGTACAGCCGGTTATATAATATAAATTGCGATGAAAGTCTACCTAGAGAGTTAGACCCTGTTTTTTTGTTCTCTTTAATTTATTATTGGATTGTTTAAAAATTTATTTTATTATGCTAATATTAAACATAAATTTAGAATAACTAAAATTTAAAATTTGTCCAATATTACTTTAAAATGTGAAATTAGACAAAAACACTGAGAGAGAAATCGTACTTAATGGTGTCATGGTGTGTAACTCTAATATTTATTCAAATTGTTATCTATCGTAAAGATTCATTTGTTAATTTCCTAAATAAAGTTTTATTGGAATTCAATTTAATTACTCCGTATATCATAAAATTTACTGGTATTTCATTTTTACAAAAATTAGTAGTTTCCTTAAAAAAACATTCCCCAATCCTAAATGATGTGATGTTTAAATTGATTAAGAATTCCTAAATTTCCATCGGGGGATAGTCTGCTTCTTACCCAGTTGAATCCGAGCGTGGCTAGGGTTTTGAAGAGAATGGAGTTGAAGAGGCGACGGAATGATGAAGTCCCGTCCGGTACGAACGGTGAATCGAAGTCAAGTTCGAAGGGTCGCCGCCGGTCATCGACGACGCCTAAGATTGCCCTCTCAGGTTAATACTTTAAACCATCAATTGTGGAGCAGTGTTCAATGAGTTCAATCTGATCATTACATTTGATTTGATTTGGTTCAATCTTGTTTGGTTTGTAGATCGGACGGTGAAGCTGTTAGAAGAGAAGGTTTCCTTTCCAAATGTATCCAAGCGTCGACGCCGAAACATAAGAGCTTTGATCTTGTCCCCCAGCTTAAGTAAGGAAAATAAGATCGGCTCATATTTTGACAGCCAAAGTCCCATCTACTCCGAGTCCTTTGTAGATGTGCCCAAAGTGGAGGTAGGAAAACAACTGAATGTTTTAGATTTGCTAGGGGGTAACCTCTTGAGGTTCAGCACCAAATTCACAAGTTATGTGGGTTCGTGTGATCCGAATAAAGGTGAGCATGGGGTTTTTGAACCAGGTAATGGTTGGACTCAAACCCCGGTATTGAGACGTGGTAATGTTGTTAGGGGTGGTGTTGTTAGCGCCTCTGCCACCAGCACAACAACAGGGGGCAACAAAGAGAATGTCAGCGTGGAAAGCACCCTAAGCCTTAAGGGTAAATACGTAATGATTTGTTGCGTGTTTGTGCCTTCGTTATGGTGTTCAGAAGACGGGCCGGGGGTGTATTACACCTCTTTAGCTTCTCATGAGTTGGCTAGAAGAGATGATTTTGTGATGGTGGTGGTGCCAATGATGAGGGAGGGTTTCACTCATTCTCACTCTGCCTACCAACACTTCTTGTCGGGTTTTTCCTGCCTTGCTGTCCCTTTCGAGGACTCTCATCGGCGTGAGTTCATTTGCTCATCGCTCGGGTTCGATGGTAAGCTTAACGCTTTACTTCTAGATCCATCTCACAGGGTGCTTCACCTTGGCCCGCCTCGCATGTTTGCGTTTTATGGAGGGTCCGGGCATGATTGCCTTCCCTTTACTCCAAAGGGACAGAAGATTGTTCTAACCTTGGAGGATGATCCGGAGAATCGCTCCCTGGATGAGGTTTTGGGCCTCAGCGACACTGATGTTCTCTACAATATTGAATATCTCGCTGGCAAGGGCAAGTTGAAGGAGGAGAAGGATGGGTGTATTACCATTTCAAAACTCAAACAGAGGGTCGTGGGGCTTTACATGTGCTCTGATGGTAGAAGCTTAGAGATGATTCAGGAGGTCTACGAGGATTGTAGACGGAAAGAGTATGAGCTTGAAATTGTGGTGGTGTGCTATCCCTTCCCTGAGCAGGTTCCCCCAGCGTTGCACGAGGAGGCCATCATTGAAGCTCTTGCAAGTCATGACCTGCTACACTGGTGGTTTTTTCCCTTCAACAACACCGTATGCCATAGACTAGAGACAATGTGTGATATTTACGGTCTTGACGAATGTTTCCTCATAGCTGATCCCAGTGTTGAAAGGTGTGTCGATCCCCATGGAATCGATATCATCCGTGACTTTGGCATCGACAGTTATCCCTTCACCAGGAGGAGTTTGGTCGACAAGGAAAATCACAGGAAAATGGAACTGAGATTGAACTCACTACTACTTCCTTGGGAAGTTGTTCATGCCTCGATTGATCTCGAATCCACAATTTCGATTCCTGTGGAAAAGCTTAAGAACAAGATTGTTCTTCTTTATCTATACAAAGAGGGAATGAAATATCTAGCTAATAAATTGGCTGCATGGTATAAAAACAATATCAAGGGAAAGTATTCAAATGTTGAGGTGGTTGTTGTGAGCATAGATGGCAGCGAGACCAGTGATGAAGAATTCATGGGTATGGGGTGGTTGGCATGCCATGGACTCCCACCCTTTGCAGCTAAACTCTGTGAAGAATACTGGCATCCGCGCTTAAATCCAAGCGAGGCTCTTGTTGCTTTTGACGAAGATGGCCGGATTACATGTACGGATCCAGATCACATTTTGGTATGTGAAGGTCCTCCTTTCATGGGCGATCTACGCGAAGAGATTTGTCTGGATTTTGAAGACGCTGGGTATTTATACATGCCGCACTGATGATCAAGGCTGTATTTATCTAGTTTAGTTAGATATCCTATGGAGTTATTTAGACAGTTTAATTTAATTATTGTGATTTTTTGAGAGAGAGTTGTGATGTATCTTTAATTATAAAAAAGTTGGGTGGAATTATAACACTCCTTCAAGGGTTTAATTTTTGGTTCTTTCCCTTGATGACTTTATTGAACGGACTATGATTTATTTAAGGATTTTGCGTTTAAAATTTTACAATGGTGTTCCAAGGAGTAGTTAGGTGACAATAGTATTTCTCTCCTCGGGTTTTTCGGCCAGCGGGTGTTCTGCGAGTTATTGATTCTTTTAGTCCACCATTCTTGCAGTGCATTTCGGATTTGTCCTAATTTTCTGGCCAAATTATTTTGTGATCCACAAATTTTTTTGACAGTGCATTTCGGATTTGTCTTGATTTTATGACAAAATCATATATATTTGAAAATTAGTTGTATCTAATATTCTAGATAGTCCTTGAAATATCTCTCAAAAATTACTTGCTGAGTATGAGAGCCTATGTTCTCATAGTGAGAACATAGTGAGAGTGTATGTTCACCAACTTGTGTCTATAGTGAGAGCCGGTAGAGAGCAAGGACGGGTCATGAATAGATTTAGCTGTGATTGATGCATTGGAGCCTTGGGGAGCTTCGATGAGTCATTCGATGAGAAGGATGTTGCAACCAAGATAGTCGAGGAAGATTACTAGATGTACAAACACTCTATAAGAATGATAGTTTGAAGATTATCAAACTCCTAAGTCAGAGATTGTTAGGTTTTGTGGATGCTCGATTTGGGTCGAATCGATTCTTTATTAGAAGACTAAATTGTAGTAGTAGATTAAAGGAGCAGGGGGACTAGTTTTAGTTGATTGACGCCCATTTATGTTTTCTTGGTGGAAAAGTAAGGAAGCCTAATCTATAACCCATAAGTATACGGCTTGTAATTGCAATCTTGGCGAACCACAATAAAGTTCCTCTTGTTGTAGTCGTAGATTAAGAAAATCGAACCACGTAAATTCTTGTGTATCGTTTTGATTCTATCTTTCTCTGTTCTCACCGTTTATTTGTGTGTGTGTGTTGTTAGATTAGTTTCAAATAATTAGCCTCTCATGACCAGCCAAACTATGGGTGCAAGCGAGATCTATTCATTCGATCAAAAGAGTGTATTGAAGAATTGTCGGGATAAGGAATTTCCCACGCAACTATAATAGTGTACTTGAGGTGATGCCCTCAACCAATTATTACACTCTCATTAAACTTGTGAGCTATATATAGATGAGGACCAATACAACGTATAATCATTCAAACGTTATCAAGAATGTATTTTTATATTTGTGATGGAATCATTTACCTGGGTATAGTTGACCCTTAAGTTAATTTTAGAGATTGATGATAATATTATTTCTAATTAAAATAGAAAAGATATGAGCTTGATTTTGTTGGTTTACGCGGGCATTTGTTGGTTTGCTAATGCTAAAGAAAATCTATCAATCCTAATAAACAAAAATTCTAAATTAGTAATTTATACTCCACAAACGTGAATGCTTTATAAATTTTGTTGATTTAAGATCATATGAGTGAAAAGTACTATTATCGATCTTATTTATGGAGTTTGTACTATTATCGATCTTATTCATGAACCAACTATAGAATAAGAGTTACTCATAATCATGAATGAGATTATGCAGGGGTTTCCTTATTCACAATAATATGATATCATATGCCACAAGACGTCTGTACCAAGGTATAATGTGAACCTGAAAACAGAGAGTAGTATACATTGGTACTGTGTATGTTTTACTATATTGACTATATATATCTATGCAAATGAAACAAAGGAAACATGGGAGATAAAGAACAAAACAAAGTGTGAACAAGTGGCACCACCAGGCAAAATAGAGTGCTTGCAAACCCATCATATGATCAATAGGACATGTATCCAAACCCAGCGTTATCAAATTCCAGAACAATCTCTTGACGCAGATTATTGGCAAGGAAAGGACGTTGAGATTCCAAAATGTGAGAAGGGTCCATGGATGTAATTTGGCCATCTTCATCAAAAGCAACAAGAGTCTCGCGTGGCCCACAAAGAGGATGGAAGATTTCGCCACAAAGTTTAGCCGACTTGGCTGGGTCTGCAGGGCACACCAACCACCCCAAAGCCATGAAGTCTTCATCACTAGTGCCCCTAATACCATCAATGCTTACAGCAACCACCTCAACAACACTTGAATCCCTTTCCTTGATAATCTCTTTATACCATGCAGCCAACCTATCAGCTAAAAACTTCTCTGGCTCTTTGTACAGATAAAGAACAACAATCTTGTCCTCAAGCATTGCCATAGAATCATGAATCATGGTGCAGGTATCAAGCGAGCTAGAAGGATATCCCCAAGGATGTAGTAATGAGTTCAATCTCAGTCCCATTTTCCTTTGTAATTCCTTGTCGATTATTTTCTTCCTGGTGAAGGGATAACTGTCAATGCCAAAATCAAGGATGATTGGTAATCCATACGGGTCAACAAACTTTTCATTGGGATCCACTATAAAAAAACCTTCCCGATGACTGCCAACTTCGCACATTCGCAGTAGCCTATGGCATACGGTGTTGTCGAAGGGCAAAACCCACCAGCCTAGGACGCTAACACTTGCAAGAGCTTCAATGATCAACTCCTTATGCAACTCTGGGGGCACCTGCCAATAGAAGGGACAACACACTAGCACAATTTCAAGCTCATACTTCTCGCGCCTACATTCCTTGTGAACCTCCAGAAGTATCCTTAAACTTCGGCCATTATAGCACATGTAAACCCCCACAAACTTATGTTTAAGTTCTGAAACAGTAATACCTGCAGCATCCTCCTCCAACTTGCCACCAGTGAGATATTCAATGTTGAAGAGAACATCAGCATCTCTAAGGCCCAAAAGCTCATTGAGGGAGTGATCACACCGAAAACTTTCACGGTGTAAACAAGTCTTCACTCTATCCGGAGTAAAGGGAAAACAATCAAGTTCAGCTCCTCCAACCCCACGAAACATGTCGGGCGGGCCATGGTAAAGGACCTTCTGATATTTATCTGCAATCACAACTTTAAGCTTACCATAAAAACCGAGTGCTGAGCAAATCTTTTCACTCCGATGAGTTTCATGGAAAGGGACAGCAAGGCAGGAAAAGCCCGACAAGAAGTGTTCATAGATAGAGTAAGAACTAGTGAAACCCTCCCTCATCATTGGCACCACCACCATCACGAAATCATCTCTACTAGCCAGTTCATGAGAAGCTAATGCTGTGTGATAAATCGTGTGTGCATCTTCTGAAGACCATATCGAAGGCACAAACACGCAACATATCATAATGCTTTTACCATACATGTTTAGGGTAACACTTTGTCTGACTTGTGTCGTGCTTGAGTTAGAGGCCAAATCACTGAAGATACTACTAGCACTGTCGTAGAAACTCAAGAGTTTACCATTTAGCAAATCTAATACTGTCAGGTGATAGTCTACCTGGACTTTGGGCAGATTTACGAAGGATTGGGAATAAAAGGGGCATTTTCTGTCAAAATACGAGCCGACCTTAAATTCCATACTCACATCACGTCGGTAAGGGTTGTAAGTATCCCTGGCGCGGATGCAGGGGTCCAAGATTGAAAGTTTGATGTTTCGTTGTCGCCACTTGGATACACTTGGAAAGCATGTATTGTTCCCCCTTAACAGCTTCAGCGTCCTATCTACAAAACAAACTCGATTTAATTTAATGAAATCGAACATACTCTGTATGTATAATTGATTGATTACTCCACGATTGATCTGGTTTAGATTAAGAACCTGATAAAGGTTTCATTGCCGTCGATGGCCAAAGGCGCTTCGAACCCGACTCCGATTCACCATTCGCACCGGACGGATCCTCGTGACTCCGTCTCCTCTTCCCGCACATTTTCCGTCGCCTCTTCACATCCATTTTCCGGCAATTCGCACCGGACGGATCCTCATCACTCCGTCGCCTTTTCGCGCTCATTGCAGTTCTGCACCCAAAACCCTATCGAGAAATGCTTGCGGAATTTCTTCTCGTACAGATTTTGCAGAATTTCTTTTTCTTTTTTTAAATACTAGTATGGGCGGTATCCCACCCGCAGACTAGCAATGATCCCGTTTGTTGTTAGAAGAATAATGCTGAGTAGGTTAGTGGTTATATACGGAGTATCTATTTTTTAAAAAATGTTTCTCGCTCCTTATCATTCCAGTACATATTTTAGTAATTAAAGATGGTGGAAATTTTTATTTATTTTTGTATACTTTTGACTAATATACGAAATAAAATTTTATTGTCACTTGTTATTTTGTAGAATTTTTTATGTACCTTTTTTAAATATACACATTTTATTTTTTATTTATATACCAATCTTTAAATAAAATAAATTGAAAAATTTAAAATTTTATTCTATATTGCATAAACTGAAGATGATTTATGGACGCGTACCCATTTTAACCAAATTAAGAAGTTAAAATTCATACATAATTTTAAGAAGTGTTTAATTCATCTGCGCTAATTTTAAATATACAACTTCTTAGTCCAAAGTGTTATATTCTAATATTCCCATACATAATTTGAAAAAATTGATCCTGACTCGTGCCCATTTACCCGAGGAGTCCTGAAGTTTAATCCTATATTCGAATTCATTGGTATACCCATGATAAAAGTTGACGTCTTTTATTTTTTTATAATTGAAAAACAGTTAGTGAAAATATTATGAACAAAAAAAGTTTAATTAGATACAAATAAAAATAAGACTAAAGTGCAACAAAAATCCGCCTTTTTCACAAAAAATATACAATAAAATTTTTATAGAAAACTAAGAGCATGGGCAATGGCAAGTAAGAAGTTGAATGCCACACGATGACGTGAAGTATTTTAGCCAATCAAAAGTAGTCCAGTCACCGTGTGGTACTTGAGTGGAGTGGCAAGTCACTCCGTTTATCATTTTTTACACATTTTAAATATATTTTAATTATTAAAAATTATTTTACTTACTTTTTTTAATAAAAATAATTGTAATTTTTTTTGGTAATATTAACATTTTTGACATATTTTAATTAGTCCATGTGTGCTTTTTTTATTATAAATTATTGCATTTTCTTGTAAAGATTTTAATTGTACAAAGAGAACATTAATTTTTTAAATTAAATTATATAAAAATATTTTTTAATTGTTTTACTTGTTTATTTTATCATAAAAATATTTTTACTTCTTTATAGGAAAATATTATTCATTAAAAAACCTATAAAAAAAGAAAGAAAAAAAGTGGTGCAAAACTCTATTTTGGAAGGAAGGAGAATTCAAAATTGGATGCGATGGACAAGCACTAGATAACAAAAATATTCAGACCTGTCCCAAGTTTAACAAAAAGAAAGAAAAAAAATAGTGCAAAAGTGCCACGGACATGCCTCGCAGAGGGCGGTGGAACGCTTGCTCCATGCCTTGCAAACAAGGGATGTCATATGACGTGGCAGGCGTGGCACCAATTTGACTCGCTGCTGTACATGCTCTAATCTTGGGTACCCCACATTTTGAAAAACTAACTTCCGGGTACCTCATATTTTCAAAATATACTCCGAGGTACCCTCTATTTTGAGAAACTAACTATCGGGTACCTCACATTTTTAAAATATACTCCAGGATACCTCCAAATATACATTAATTTTACGCCATTAATTTTAAGAAATAAGGGTTTGAAATTTTTTAAAAACCAAGATCTTTTTAATTTAAAGAAAATTGAGTGCTCAATTTTAAAAGTATTGAGTACAATTTTCTTCCAATTAAAAAGATCTTGGTTACTTTTAAAATTCCAAACCCCTGTTTCTAAAAATTAATGACGTAAAATTAATGTATATTTAGAGGTATCCTGGAGTATATTTTAAAAATGTAAGGCATTCGATAATTAGTTTCTCAAAATAGAGGGTACCTCGGAGTACATTTTAAAAATGTGAGGTACTCAATAGTTAGTTTTTCAAAATAGAAGGTACCTCAGAGTATATTTTGAAAATGTGAGATACCCGGCAGTTAGTTTCTCAAAATATGAGGTACCCAAGAGCAGTTTTCTGAAAAATTTTAGATTCATAATCGATCTTCTTTTCATATTCATTCATGTTACAAGAATGTTCTTTATAACATTACAACTAATTCCAAACAATTTATTTTATACTACTGCATAGCATAATCCAACGTGTACATGCCTTTATTGTGGTGAAATAAATACTAATAGATTTGGAAGCCACACAACTAGCGAAGAAAATGAGTAGTGAAGAAGAGAGGTAGAGTTTTATAATATTTAATATTATGCACGTAATATATATTAACCGGTACGAGTTTTAAATGGGTCGGGACTACTCATTTTATACCCAACCCTTTATTTTTATAAAATAAGAGTACGAATTCAAGTATTGGCAAAAGGTATCTTTTATACTAGCCAGCTAAAATATTACTGGTATTATACTGGTTCCGGTAACCCATTCGTCCAGTCCTACTCAGCCATAATCTGCTTCGGTTCGCTCTCAGATCAGAACTCAAGACGATTCGAATAGAAGAGCGGAAGCCGTGAACCCTAATTCCCCATCATCTTCGTGAACTACTGAAAGGTGAACGACTGAGCGGAAGACCACCACACTCCACAAAGAAAGCTCGCGGTGAACGACTGAGCGGAAGACCACCACACTCCACAAAGAAAGCTCGTCCACCACCAGCAGAAAAGGTATCTTCGTGTATTGCTTAACTCGATAGTTGTAGTTCGTCTGGTTCGTCCACCACCACTGTTTCCCCGTCTTTGGTCTGTAATTCTGTGTATGTGTGCATATTGCTATTCGCCTATTCCCGTTTCTTTGTGTTTCTTGATTGTTTACACCCCTACTGTAGAGACTCTACGCACTGAATTGGCTTACCTAAAGTTTGTTGTGCTAACTTTTTTGTGCTTAGTGTGCTAACTTTTTAAAAAAATTAGTTTGAAGCTCTGTTGAAATTTTATGGGTTACAGAAGCTCAAAAATCAAATTCACAGCTTCAACTAATTATGATTTTCTAACATTTTTAGATTCCAAAAAAATTCTTGAGATGGATTATGGAGTATTGGAGTACAATGTAGTTATATTGTTTGTATGACATGTGACATCCCAAAAGCCACTGTTTTTCATTCGTTGGTTCTAAACAAGCTCCATTCTCCCATTTATTTAAACATACTTCCTGAGTACCCTTATTCAGTCTTGGTCCCAACCAGTCTGGTCCCAGTCCAGGCCTACCCTAAATCGGTCCGGTCTCTGGTCCACTACTCTGCTCTTATTTGGTCCTGATCCGGTCTGGATTTTGACTGGTGCGCCCTCTACTCATCACTCCGCCAGTCACGTTTGGGAGAAGAGGACAACCCTAAGTGATCTTTTATTTTGGGGAGCTCTCCCAGTGAGGTTTAAGCTTGAGTTACTTCTCAATTAATGTCTTGCTCTAGAGCAGATTTTCTCAAACAATGCTTCTTGATATTCTTACCTTGTGTTTAGTTTAAGAAATTTTAAAGGGTAAAAAAAGATAATGGTATGAAAACTTTTTTTTTGTTTTCTTAGAGAAGAAAAGAAGGGTCGAAGAAATAGAAAAGCTGGGAGAACTATTTTCGAAGGTTTTAAACCGCACAAATGAATTTTTGGTTGTGAGCATGGTTATGTGATTTGTGATTTTTAAAACGGTTGTGTTTGTAATTTTGTACTGTCCCGGCGAATTTGTAAATTGTGATTTTCAAAATGAATTTTGTAAAAATTATGGTTTAAACCCGGACCATATTGGAATGATCTGGTCCTTTTCGGCTGAACCAGAATCATTCATGTTGTTTCCATTCCTCCCTTTGATAGTTTTATTTTTGAATATTATGACTCTATTACAATGTAGTATCTCTTTATACATACTTTCTTAACGTATTGAAGTACAAAGAGTTATCATACTAATGTGTTTTTGGTCATCCCTTTCATAGACTTTGATTTTCTGGTAGCGTTTGGAATGATAACTTGAAATGATTAAAAAATAAACAAATATGCTTAAATGAAAAAGTACAAAATTCATTGCTTCACTTTCATATGTAAATCTTGTAATTTTAAATATTTCACTTTAAGATTATAAATTATTTAATTTTTTAATATTTAGGTTTTCCCTGGTTTACTTCAAAAATTTTTTTGTTGTTTAAAAAGGGACTTAGAAACTCTATTAGCTTTTCACATATAATACACGTATGATATACCCATATGTACTCCCGGATATGCATTTTCGTTTGTTTTATACGCCTGTATCTTGCCCCAGGCGTATATCCGTATAAAAAACATCTCAAAGCTTAAAAAACCCTAAGTTTCTCTCTGCTTTGTTTTCTACTTTCACTGTTTTGCCTTGCTCCCTGCCGTAGAGAGCTGACTGTCCCACACTCCCATTAGCGTCTGAAGTAGTGACGCAGCCGGTGGTCTTAACGCCTCTTGCTGCCCGTCCGTCGGTCAATGTGGAGGAGGCAGACTCCGATTCCAATTCTATCCAGCATCCAGTAAGTATTTTGGCGACTTTGGTAGCTCTTCCGTCAAACTTCTGCAATCTTTTTCGGTCTGTAGCTATTATTCAACTTATTCCACCTCCATCGTCAGTATATTTAAGACTTCTAAACTCTAATTTCTAATTTTTAATTAAAACATTTTGTGTAGTATTTACTCTTAGCACTTTACTAAGTTTAGTCTCTAATCCTTGAGGTTGATTCTTATGTGAATACAAATAAGATTTAAATTTTTAGTTAACTTTGAGATTTAAGAGTTGAATTTGAATCTGGAAGCAAAAGTAGGAGGCCGTGAAGCACAACTCTATGTCTTATTTTTTGTCTTTTATTTTGTGAACAAATGAAAGATTTAAGCATATCATAGTTCTTTCAATGTCCTAAAATTCATGTTCATGTGGGTTAACATTGAACAATTATGGCAACTGATTTTGCATTTACGAAGTACTCTGGTGCCCAATGTTTTTTGAGCAAATCTAGTTTGTATTAAGTTCCATATTGTGCTAATGTATAAGACATTGAGTTGTGCTGCTTAATATGTTAAATTGTTGAACTTTTAGATTGTAACTAAATTTAAAATTATAGTACATTGGTGTCTCACTACTTTGTACCCGGTAGTTTTAGAACATTTTTGGTGTTTTAATTTTGGGATTTGGTTAATCATGTCTTCAAACATGATCTCTCTTATAGTTTTGGTATATGGTTAATGATTTATTCAAAAATTATCTTACTATCTTACTTATTATTTGTTTTAACTCCAAGTATTTTTTATGGGTTGTTAGTTTTATATTTATGTTAGTGGCTATTTGAGTTATATTTTTTTGAAGTTAAAACTTAAAAGTAAGTGTTAACCTTTTATTATGTTGAAAATATATGCTCATATTATAAGTTGTATTTTTTGAAAAATTAAACATATAGAACACAAATGTTTCTGTAAACATATTTTTTTTGAAATTTTATCTGTATATATACATACAAATGACTATATTATACCCGTACCCGAATATTTATTTTTTTAAAGAAACTGTTTTTTATTTAGACCCGTACGAGCCACGTCGACCTGGTTCTTTGGGTTTGTCGGGTCAAACAGGATTGGGCGGATTTTACTCAAATTGGGTTTCCCTTTGAACCCAATCCGGGAATGCCCCTTGGTCACGGTCCGAGTCTAATAACATTTGAGAATTTCTGGGTTTGCGGTTTGCCACTAGTTGTATGTTTGTGTTCCTATTGTAGTAATTGATTCTTGAAGACTATTTTTATATTGTTGTCTCATGGTTGTGTTAGTATTAATGCTTTGAGAGTGGCCAAATGTTATTAATTGGATTTACTTAGACCTAATCAAAGTATGGATTGTGTTAGGATTTGGATTAGAAATGAAGTGCTATGCTTGAGTATTTTCTAAGCCTAAACTCATGACCCAGCCAACAAGCCTAATATAATTTCAACTTGGTCACGTTCCTCATGGTACCCGTATACTTTGGCCAATCTACCCACATTGAACTAAATTTTTGGAAAATAAAAAAATGAATTTTAAATTGATAGATTGTAAAAACTTAAAAACCTAGACTAAACAAAAAAATGAATTTTAATGGTCAACTAAAAACATTAGTAGAATTGGGCGGACCACTAAATTGAGACTAAAGGTCACTAAACTAAATCTAGAAGACCACTTGATAACATTTGTTAGTGAAATGGAGACTAAACTAAATCCGGATTCATATCCCGGATATTTACATTTCTATATCTAAATTCACAATTGATGCATAATTCTCGATTTTGGATATATCTTAATCTGATTATATCTTTGAAACGGACCAAATATCTGAATCCAACCGAATATCAATGTGTTCAAACTCGGAAACAAAAATGTATCATGGGGGCGAAGAGATTTGAACTCAACACCTCCAACCTTAATATTCAAAGTTGTAGCCATATAGCCTAAATTAAACACTTAATGTTGATAATTATAGGCATACTTATGTTATGTGATAATATTCTATGATATTTAAAAGTAGTTCAACAAACTTGGCATTTTTTATTTAAACATGAGTATGAGTATTTTATGCCAAGCTATGGGTTGTTGACTTGAGTCAACTATTTTTGATCGGTTGGCCCTTGACCCAATTGCTCGGTTCGACGTTTGATTTGGTTTTTAAAACATTGTCGAATATCCAAAATTGTCCATAAAAAATTCAAATGATTATAAAAGGAATGTGAAAGTGAATATTGAAATCCATAATAGTGAATAATATCAAAATGTAAAAGAATTGTCTAAATAGTAAATACTTAACGAATACAAATTATTCGAACAGAAATATAAATTCACAATCGACCAAGTACTTTATGGAAGTAATAGTAAAACACTAAGGTTAGAGGCCTAGAGGGTAAGGTATTTTTTGGATATATGTGCCAAGTATAAATGTATAATGGGCTAGGTAGAGGATTAAAATTTTAATAAAATAATTTTAATTCGATATTCAGATAAAATGATATTCGGATAAATAGTTATTTAAACGGATGTATTTTTGGATCAAATTCTAAACATATTGTATATACAATTACCAAATTCGTATCCGTTTAGTAATCGGGTGTCTTTAATCAGGTACGAATTATATCCGTTTAAAATGGATGCAAATTATTTCCTTTTAAATAGATACAAATGCGGAAGGTAATCTGTTTTTTGATTATCCATTGACAGCCTTAGCGAGAACCTTACTACTCAACATAAGTTACAAATGATGTATGTCAAAATCCGGTGAGAGGTTACGAAAGCAAAGAATTTTGCTTTTGAATGTCTTTGTGAGGACATTGAGGAGAATGGTGGTGATAAAAGGTTATTTTGGCTAGCCAAGGGGCGTGAGAGGAAAGCCCAAGATTTAGAACATGTGAGATGTGTGACAGGTAGCGATGGAAAGGTATTGTTCGATGCAATTGAGGTGTCTAACCGTGGGGGAGAGTACTTCCATAGCCTCCTAAATGGAGGAGAAAGGAGGCTTGAGCTAGGAGAATTGGGCAATTAGAGAGGCACAAAGATTTTGGGTACTATCAGCGCGCATTAGTCAGGTTGAAGGTTGAGGTGGCTAGGACCATTTGCGGGATAAAGACATTGAGAGCCTTGGTGCTCGATGAGGTCTCGGTGGAGTTTTAGAAGGTTGCTGGCAGTAGTGGGTTGGTTTGGTTAACCAAGCT